GGGGTGGGCGCCACACTTGTTTTGCATATCGCTGAAAGCTCTAGCGATTTGTGGAGATGTGCGTTTAAGGTCCTACGGCACATCCAGACTAAGCGGAAGGCTAAATCGAGCGGTAGGAAGAATATGTTCCTCATATTCTGCAGCACATTTGGCGTCTGCTCGTCACGGATTTCGGGGAGGCACGAACATCCTTTCAAGATGTCGGTGGTGCCCGTTGTATCAGTTGCGCACGCGCATATGTACCTGAAAGTTATAGCTGTCTGCAGATGCACACCTATTGGTCTTATCTTTGGTAGCACTGGTATGAGTGAGCTCAGAGTAAAAACTGATGCCACTCTCCCTACTCTCGCGTACACCCTGCGTTTCAACAACACAAACGTTCTATCCGCAGGTCCACGGAGAGCATTAACATTGAAATTTGATGCTGTAAGCATCTCCATCTGTACGGAAACTATGCCCTTAGTAAACTGATACATTTCTGCTTATTGTTTTCCATCTTACAATGCCTAGAGAACCTTTTGACTTATCCGTAAGGCGTGGAACTTATGATTCACGTGTTGCAACTTATGTTCATTGGAATGCAATCCGCGAAACTTAACATGAAAAAGCAGTGATCGGCCGCAGTGAAAAAGCAGCGATCGGCCGCAGTCGTGGTGCCAGTAACTTTTCGGCCACATGGGCTTCCATCCTGTTCCGATCACAGCGTCACCGGCGTGTCCCACGCGAGATATCCAAAACGCGTGAACACGTACAAAAAGGCGGCGACGTCTGCCGAGCGTGCCGGCTGGCCGCCGCCGCGCGCCACGTCTGGCAAGCGTCAACCGACCCGCTCGGCTTGTTAGCCGCGCATTTCTGCCGCTAAAAAATGCATTAATTGAGCCGGAATTCGGCCGGCGCCACGGCGCGCGTAATCCGAGCGCGATTTGAGCCACTCGGCATGAGACGCGTGGTGTCCTGGGACGAGGGCCACGCTCGGACTGCAGATGAGGGGGCGGCGCGGATCGATCCAGCCACAAACCGACCGCGCCGTCTGAGCTGGCTACCCTGCTGACCGGCGTACGTGTCTGCTGGATGTCCTGCTGACTCTCCTGTTGGTGGTTCTACTGATACGTTCGCCGGGTGCCTGACCTGACTGTCCTGCTGACGGTCCCGCTGACGGCCATGGTGACGACGCTGCCGGCAGTCCTGCCCACAGTAGGTAGCATCGGCTGCCCTTCTGACCGTTTCGCCGTCTGCACCCGATTGGGCCCTGAGCTGCACTCCGAGCGGGCCCGAGCAGCTGACCGGGCAGCAGACTGGCCAGGACAGAGGACTGGGCAGCTGACAGGGCAGGACAGAGGACTGGGCAGCTGACCGGGCAGCGGACTGGGCAGGACAGAGGACTGGGCAGTGACCGGGCAGCGGACTGGCCAGGACAGAGGATTGGGCAGTGACCGGGCAGCGGACTGGGCAGGACAGAGGACTGGGCAGTGACCGGGCAGCGGACTGGGCAGGACAGAGGACTGGGCAGTGACCGGGCAGCGGACTGGGCAGAGAGCTAGGCAGTGACCGGGCAGCGGACTGAGTAGCGGACCGTGCAGCGGACTGGGCAGAACTAGGCAGTGACCGGGCAGCGGACTGAGTAGCGGACCGTGCAGCGGACTGGGCAGCTGACCGGGCAGCGGACTGGGCAGGACAGAGGACTGGGCAGTGACCGGGCAGCGGACTGGGCAGAGCTAGGCAGTGACCGGGCAGCGGACTCAGTGGCGGACCGTGCAGCGGATTGCGCAGGACAGAGGACTGGGCAGTGACCGGGCAGCGGACTGGGCAGAGCTAGGCAGTGACCGGGCAGCGGACTGGGCAGAGCTAGGCAGTGACCGGGCAGCGGACTGGGCAGCGGACCGCGCAGCCACATGTATACCTGTCAGGGTAAAGGCGTAATGGCGTAGGCTGTCAAGCGATGCAGGCCCGGACAGTTCTGGCAAACCCTTTTGTGATTTACGGTGGATGTCGCCTTTCGTTACTTTACTCACACGCAAATCAACATGACCCCACCCGTGGCACTCGCACACCTGGACGAGAGGGGTGAGCGACGCCGTCTGGGTGGCCGGTCGGTCACACCTGTGACATGTGACGCAGGGGCGTGTGCGGCGGCGGCCGGCGCGCTGTCGCCGACTCCGCCGGCCGGGCCGCCCTAATGACAGAGGCAGCGTGTCCGCTTCCGGCCGGGTGCGGCTCGGGTGGGCATCAATTAGCGGCGACATCACGGCCGGGGCGCAGCGGCGAGAACGGACGCCGCCACCCGGCGCCGCGACCCCGCCACTGTCGTCAGCGCGCCCCGACATCCATTGAGCGGCGCCGAGGCTGGCCGCTGCCAGGCTGCCGGCCAGCTGACCAGGGGGGGGGGGAGGGGGGGGGGGAATAGGACACACACGGCTTGTAACAGCACTCATGCCCAACGATGACCTCATTCGCAGTGCGCTGCACTACAAGGATGAATGTGGCGTGCTCATTCTTCCGTAGCGAGTAACGCGATCGCACTAAGCCCGTAAGCCCGTAAGCACTAATCGCCGGCCGTAATCACGCAAGCATGTGCTTGCGTGATTACGGCCGCTGATGGCTATTTTGGAAAGCCACACTGCTGGTACGGAATGCAAAACGTTGAAGTAGTGATGTTGAAAGGACGATTTTTTGTGGCAAGGATGCGCAAAACTGCTGCCACCCATCACATGTGTGACGAATGAGCGTTCGGTAGCGGCATTCATATTTTTTGCGGCATTCCTCCTGATTCACATGAAATCTTTCTGACCAAACATTCTTTCTTCAAGATGCAATATTTTGGTAAAGCTGTGCCGTTAACGTGGACCACACGGGAGGCTGCACCTGTCATGTGCCAGCACTGCGCCAGCATTTAATGGGACAGGGCCGCATGACGCCACCATGCCACCAGCTGGAGCGTGCCAACGTGACGGAATCCCCTTTGTTTGACATTTGTTTGGGTTGAGATACTTCCAGCCACAGAACAACGCAGTCGGACAATTTTTGGACAGAACTCTTTGGACCCTCTTTGATTTTGCGGCAGCTGGCATGTACAACCCTGACTTGTTACGCAATCGCACGTATTTCCGGTGCAAGCAACGCCACGCTTGTAAGTAGGTTTACTCAAACCACACTTTATGAGAGAATTTCCTCGAATCATCAACCTCGGGCCCCTCATAGCACCGCAGCTCGCACCTTTTCCGCCATGCAGCCGGCAGGCCCGCCAGAGCCCCAGAGCCAGCGTCTTCACACCCGAGCCCGGCGTCGCTCGGCACCGCCTCGCAACCGACGCCCAGCGCGTCGCCGGCGGCCGCGGCGCCGCCCGCCGTTCCGGCCGCGTCGCCGTCGACGGGCGACGATTTACGCGCGGTGGGCCGGCGCCACAGCCGCTGAGTAATGGGGCTGGCGCGCCGGCGCCGGGTCAGGCGGGTCCCGGGCCACCTCCGCCCGCTCCTCCGGACCGGGCTCAACGAGGGCGCTGGCAACGTGGCTCCGAACGCTGGATTGGTCGCGCCAGAAAAGGCGGACTCATTACGAGACCTTTGTCAAACACTTGGGTATTGAAAAGTGCAAATGCGTCACTATGTGGTGTGACAGCTTTCTGGTCTCGAACATATCAATGAACCGTGGCTGTATATCCCGGAGTCATGATTTGCATTCCCAGGTTTCAAAGCCGCCGTGACTTTAAAATGACGCCGTGGCGCCGTAATTTTAGGGTGGTTTCAAAATACCCGAGATTCCAAACGATTTTCATTTTTGCTGCACGAGCTTTCGGGATGTTTAGCTATCTTCCAAAAGTTGTCAAAAGCTCTCCATCCACGATAGGATACAAGCCGAGCTACATTACCCAAGCCGTAAGAACTGTTGACACACTCGCCTATGACATCATAGGTTGCCACAAGTGGACGGCGTCTGACAATGGGGAACGCTGCGCTGCTGTATCGTTATCAGCTCGGCTAACCAGAAGTTCTCGGGTACCGGAGCGTGACCAGGACTGGTACATCTTTCCTGGACACCTCCCCGAAGACCATCAAGCACGCGCCTTTACCAAAGCAAACAGTAGCAATACCAAAATTGAAATGTGCACACGACGGTTAAGCCAAACGGGCACGTAACTACACTACTGAATCCGTCTTGTGCTTCATCAGACAGCAATCGTCTTCTCGAAATCTTGAGGCAGGACGATGGGCTTACCGCGACTGACAGATGTGAAGCTGCACTGTTCTTGCAATGAGCTGAGTGAACGCAGGACGTCGTCGTTGCATATTTCATCGAAGGCGTCGTCGTGAACCGAAAACTATGAAACACGTTCGCGATTTTGTCATCCTATATTACAACGCAATCCCTTGCTATAATTACAAGTCTTCCCACTAGCAAAAATTACCGATCCACGCCACATTTACCCTCAACCATATAAAGGCACCGCAGGCGGCGACAAAGCCCAGGCCCAGTCAGCCATTGGCGACAGAGGCAACCACCGTCCTCGAAGACACTGAAAAGCGGGAGGGCGCGATGTTGACAGCAACAACCAGAGGGTGCCAAAGCGCGCGACACACGGCGGTCCTGGTAGTGACGCACACTGCTGGCCCTCATCTGGGAGACAGCCTCCCAGTGGGCCGGGCCGGGCCGGACCCAGACCCAGGAGAATGACATTCCTGAGCCGGGCCCAGACCCCCCTATGCACGGCCTAGACTCAGGAGAAAACCACATTCCTGGGTCGGACCACACCAACGAGACAACCTCTCTCCGGCGAGGGCGGCCGAGCCGAGCTAGGCCCTCAGCCCAGACACGAGCTCGCTCCCGGGCCGGGCTCAGCACGCGGACCTGCTCCGGCCGGGCCGCGCTCTGTGGCGGGCCCGGCTCGCCAGCCCTCCCCGCCGCCGCTGCCCTGCTGCTCCTCCGTTCGGCGCGGCCGGTCGCCTCGCGCCAGACGGTGACCGGCTCGGTTCGGCTCGGCCCGGCGCTGAGCCCACTCCTGGCCGTCACCTGCGCACACGGGGCGACGACAACAGGTCCGGGGCGGCGGCGTCACGGCGAGCCGCCCGGCCGGCCGACACACCCACGCGAGGACCACCCAGCCCTGCGCCTTGGCCCGGAGCACATGGATGCCGCGCACCGACAGTGCAGAAGGCCAACGAAGGACACGGAAAACAGAACAGCCGTACAAGAAGCCTACAAAACGAAACGCGCACTTCCTGCTGCGAACAATCGATAAACCCGGGCCCGCGTGGGCAGCAACTGAATACACCGACGGAAAGACCCTCCCGTGTTTACCAGTGTCCACACCAAATAAACGATGTCACCAAAAAACGTTATCTTGGACCCAAATAAATCGAAAAACGACGAGGACACGACAGTGGTTTCCGTGGATTGACAGAGGGCAGTGGCAGGGCGTAGCCATCAAGTCGGTGCGAGCACACGGCACCACATCTCACGCAACAGCTGTCTGCCGCTCACATCATAACAGCCTGATTTCAACTCGTTTCCTGGGAGGATACACCGTCAACAAATCACGAGCACAAACAAAGCACCACCTCTCCGATGCAGTCCTCGTCCGCGGCATGCAAATCTTGTTGCGTCACTTCACACAGAGTCGATCTTTTTTTTTGCTGCTTTTTCACGCTGATCGCCGCACACTGGTCACACTACAATCCACTAGGGGCGACGATCCGCTGGCGGCCCGGCCTGCGACACCAGCACCGGCCGCCTGGTCCGCTGCATTGTCTTGAGACGGCGCAGCATCCATCCTCCATCACCCCGCGCCATTGTACTCGTCACCGCCACACACGCGCCGCTCGAAGCACGCCGGCCACGCGGCCGCCGCCAGACGCCCGGGTCCGGTCAGCCCCGCGCCACACTAATAAGATTGTTTTCACCCGATGCTGCCGGGCCTGCCACCAGACGCCCGTAATGATAGTGTTTTAATACACTTATGCAGTCGGGCCTAGCCGAAACGCGCCGCACACCCAAAAAGCCCCCGCAGCGGCGCCGGCGGCCGGCGGCCGACAATCGCTTGCCGTTGCCGCCGCAATGCGCACCTCCCACGGTAAAATAAACAATCCCATGGGAAAACGGCTCTCGTTTATTTGGAGCCGCCTAGGTTTACGCCCGGGCGCTGGGAGAAAGGCAACCGGTGGCCGGGGTGCGCGCCCCATGGCCGCCGGTAAACAACCACCGTGCGGGCGCGCGGCGGCAGCGGCAAAACCTTGAGAAAGGGCCGGCCGGCCGGCTCCCGGTCTTGTATGGCGCGCCGGGAGCCGGCGTCTTGTGCCAGCTGGCTGGATGTGTGCGCAGCAGGGCGGCCGGCCGCCGGGTGTCAGCGTCCCGAGATCCTGCCCGGCCGGCCCGGCCGTCCCTCAGCCCACCCGCGGTGCAATCGCTGCCAGCTGACGGTCCGTCCGACGCTGCTCGCGCCACTGGGGCTTAGCTGGACGCCGGGGCGCCGGCCGTCTCCGCCCTAAGCTCCTGCGTGTCACTGGACAGCGGCTGCGGCGACGGCTGCGACGCGGCGGCCGGCTGCATACCCGAGTGATGTCTCTGCTGACGCCGCTGCTGGCCGCCGCCCTCGCCCTCGGACGTGGTGCGGCTGCGCGCGCCGCGGCCACCGCCGCCGCCGCCGCGTGCCGGCCCGTGCGCCTCGGAGCTGGCGCCGCGCCGGCCGCGCCGGTGCCGTGTCTGAGTCTCCGACACGTGGCGGCTGCGGCGGCCCTTGGCGTCGGCATCCTCCTCGCCGGCCGGCTGCGAACCAGGCGCGCGTCAGCCGGTCCGTGAGAGCCGTCTCGCGCGGAGCCAGTCCGCATGCGCCGCGACACAGGCCACTTCGACAGGACAGCATGCGCTTCAGTCACACAGCTAACATCAGCACTCACGGCTAACCAGTCTGAACGCTGTCGGGGTTGTGACACCTACCGGCAGCACGCGGAAGTCCTCCAGGCGGCGGAAGTTGACCAGCGCCGCCGCCAGTTCAGGAAGCGTGTCCAGTGAGCGCGCCTGGCGGTAGTACTTCTTGAAGGCCCAGAACTTCTCCAGACCGTACAGCTGACCTGGAAGGGGGAACAGGGGTTAAAATAGCGCCCTAGGACAAACCGGCTCGTGACCAGCGGTAATGGCAACCCTCCGTTGCCAGTTTTCATGATGATGATAACTTGGACGTCAGGCTGCGCCGACTACCCTGGTCATATGAAGAATGGGTACTGAGCTGTGCGCATGCTGTTCTGACACGACGAACAAATGTGATCACTACGAAAGGCAGGCGTATCGGTGACTGATCCGTACTCAACACAACGTGCGGCGCCAGGGAACCATAATCGAAATTTTGTGCACGAATTTACCGTACCAGCTGGACATCTCCATCACATGACTTCATACAAAATTCGATTCATGTTTGGCCACATCTCAAGCGATCCCCCGCGTGTGAATGGCCGGCGCCCCGTTCAATCGCCACTCAAACGGTGCGGCTGCTCCCCAGGCGGCCCGCTCACCTGACTCGAAGTCCTTGAGCGTCTCCTCCTGGAAGTGGAGGTACAGCTCGGGACGGAACCGTCGCTCCAGGCCGTAGCTGTAGAACCGGAACAGGCACTCCAGGCCGTACCTGCGCGCGCCGTCCGGTCAGGGCATTGTTCACACAGGACGGAATCGAACTGCCCGGCTCTGCTGCAGTGGCAGCCCTGCACCACCAAACCGTCTGAGCAGGGGCAGCGGCACGGTCGGGACCACAAACTGATCCGCCACTTGACGGCACTGACAACAGTGACCACATACAGCCAGGTCCCAGCCGCCAATTCCCATCCCGGTCAGGGCCCTGTAGTGATCATCTGCGAGCTGCGCCCAGTAGTTTGCCGTACATCAGCGACCGACGACGGGCGCCGGCTGGACGCACCTGTACCCTCCGGTGGCGTCTTCCGTGGCCAGCTGGCGGAACTCCTCGTACATCTTGCGGTTGAAGTTGTCGCGCAGGAAGAAGGACCAAAAGCGGAACAGCGTGTTCATCTCCTGAGATTGGCCAACGCCGAGCCGCTTGCGCTCTGGAGCAGAAACACACGATCTCAACACTCATCCACGGATACACGCGCGCGCTCGCGGCAGGCCGGGCGACGCGGACAGGATACTGAAACATGGACAAGCGCATTTGCTAGGGCGTCGCGTTGGTCGCCACAGGCTGGAGCTCGGCTTTTCTCCAAGCCGGTTTTCACGCAACACTGGAGCCATTCACCCAAGCCAATGCAGCACACTAAACTGACGGGGTGTGCCTCACTGTACTCTGGCCGCTGACATTTCACCATGCCGCGGCCCTCTCTGTGCTGGCACGTGGAGACATCTAGCGCGAGGATTGACCACGGTGGTCCGCGTCCTACCCAGCTCTCGCAGAGGCCGGCGAGAGCGACCCACGCGCCTCCGCCGGCGGACGCCCACGCCCACGCTCACCCCTGAGGCAGCGAGCGCGGTACTTGTGATACACCTGCTGCGTGAAGTTGTTCTCCTTGAGCAGCGCGTGGCTGGGGTGCTGGAACTGCGGCAGCGAACCGGGCGTGCTGCCGTGGCTGGTGGAGAGGCCACCCTCGGACGGGCTGGTGCCGCTGGTGGCACTCGTCTGCGAGATGGTGCGCTCGCGCCGCGAAGGCGGGTGCCGCCGGCTGTCCATCACCCAGCCCACGTGGTGCTCCACCGGCGGGTTCTGCGAGTGGCGCAGCTTGCGCTTGCGCGGCGTCGCCTTGTCCGGCGGCCGGTTCGACTTGACCACCGGGTAGAAGCGCGGCGCCTGAGCGGCGCCGTGCGGCGTGCGCGGCGTAGTCGGCGCCCGGCCGGCGCCGCCCTTCGGGGTCATCGGGATCTGGGGGGCGAGCGGCGGGCGTCAGTCGGCAGCGCGGGCCCAGCAGCTGACGCTCCGGCGGGCGTCAGTCGGCAGCGCGGGCCCAGCAGCTGACGCTCCGGCGGGCGTCAGTCGGCAGCGCGGGCCCAGCAGCTGACGCTCCGGCGGGCGTCAGTCGGCAGCGCGGGCCCAGCAGCTGACGCTCCGGCGGGCGTCAGTCGGCAGCGCGGGCCCAGCAGCTGACGCTCCGGCGGGCGTCAGTCGGCAGCGCGGGCCCAGCAGCTGACGCTCCGGCGGGCGTCAGTCGGCAGCGCGGGCCCAGCAGCTGACGCTCCGGCGGGCGTCAGTCGGCAGCGCGGGCCCAGCAGCTGACGCTCCGGCGGGCGTCAGTCGGCAGCGCGGGCCCAGCAGCTGACGCTCCGGCGGGCCGCCTCATGACGCCACACCGCCCGCACACCATGTCGGGCAACGATGACACGGACGCAGGCGAACCAGTCAGTCAGGCCAAAGCTAGACATGTTCATAGGCGCGCAGGTCAGACACAACACGAATATCCTTGGAAAACGGGACTGGGGCGGAGGAAACACCAACGAAACGAGTGAGGCGAGACGCTACGGACACGCAGTTGTAATCAACTCAGTTATGCAGTGGTACTCACATCAGTGGGTAACGACCGCGACAGATTCGAGTCGTCGGACTGCAGCTGAGTGGGTGGCGGCGGCGGTGGCGGCGGCGGCGGCGGAGGAACCTGCTGGTTTTGAGCTCGAGGAGACGGTGGCTTAATCTTGCTGAACTCCTCGCTTGATATCACAGTTACCTGCTTGGACACAGAGGTAATCTCCTGCGACAGAAGAATTCCAGATTGATGGTCGGGACATAACTAGCCTGATAGCCAAAGACATCACTTGGAAAATGGGGCACGCAGAAAGACACTGGCATGCGAACGACTTGACAAGAGGTAAAACATACATCGCACAAGATAATCCACTTAAGCACAATATGCACAGAGAATGTCCAATAACGTGACTTGAAAGACAACCATACCAGCAGTTCGCCTCGCCACACCGTACACGGACGCCTCCATGCGTATCCCACGGAATACAGACACTCCGCTGGAAATCAGAGTGAACAATTTTCCGCGCCGAGAAAGCCAGCCGCCATCAGCTGTCCGACCCGACCTCTGGCAGTTCGCGGTCTGCCACCCCCTTGGGCTCATTCCAGCCGTCACTCTCACTTCGGCTTGTTCTAGTGGTCACTCCTCGCTCCGGCTCGTCCGAGTGGTCACTCACCCACTCCGGCTCGTTCCAGAGGTCACGCTCGTAGTAGAAGAGGCCGTCGTTGATGGCCGAGGCCAGATCCTGGGTCATCTTGACGCGCGTGGTCCAGTCGCCGGTGCGGTCATGGCCCTCGTGCTTGTCCGGACGCGACGGCAGCCGCGACGGCGGCGGCGTTTGCGTCACGATCATCAGGTTGTCGAGGCCACGGTCCGGGAAGTCGTTCTCCGACTCGTCGTCCGACCTGGCGGCAGGCGGGGCGGGGTGTTGTCAACAGCGCCACACCGGCGGCTGCTGACTCAAGCCTCGTAAGCCGCCGCTGTGACCGTGCGCTCGCTCACACGCGCACGTCCCGGGGGCGACATCGGATGCGAGCAACATCGCAATGGCACTGGGTCTCCCTGTTTGTTCCCGTTACACTCACTAATGCTGTGATATTTTATCATGCGTGTCTGCGCTGCAGTGGTATGCTTCAACATCGGCACACCCTGGTGAGAGTTAGTCATTCTCCGTAGCGGGAAGCAAATGCCAGATCTCCAGCTCATGAGACAATCTCAGTATGTGTGCAAATTTAATTTCAAAGAAAGGCCTGAAGAACGTCAACAATTAGCACCGCGCCACAATAGTAACACTAAAATCAACTCACAAGGAGGAAAGGGGCAGTCTGGTCTAGCTTTTATGTCGATTGTTTGCTGTCCATTGCCACTATTCGCTCACCGTTGGCACGTAGTCCGTTTGGAACATTTTCTCGTCATGGTTGAATACAGTGCGTGTTCATATGTTTAAGACATCTCCACAAATTGCAACTCCAGATGTATCCACGAACGTAGGATAAAATAACGGTTCCAGTATGCGCAGAAAATATCAATATCTCAAAGTGAGACTGGCAAGATATCTACAAAAATCACGCAATCAAATGATGCACGAGGTACGCAAAATGACACATCCTACAGTTGATTACAAACCGACAAGATTATTTCCGCATTTCACGAAAAATGGAAACGAAGCAAGAAGTACCACTTAGATAAGTTCAGCAAAGTTCCGTTACGCTTTTTCTTTAAGAACTAATCATAATTCACATAGGTCTATGCATCTTTGGCACGCCACCTATGCCACATCTGTCTGCACAATTGCTTGCTTATTGTTTATATATTACACATATTTGATGACATATATTATTATTTGCTTACAAAAAATATTTGTTTGCTTATCCATGAGACTTGGCCGAGTCACTCTTTTTGACCCAAGTACGATTTTTAAATCTACAGACGATCAAACAACATTAAGAAGCTAACCACGACGGGCTGACGGCTGCAAGGTACTTTGTAAGAAACCGTCAAACCAAAAAAGGCCAAGGAGCCAGCTATTTCGCGCACTGAAATGCCAGGTCAGCTGACCAGGGCCTGATCTCAACACCATGCAACACCCACACCACTTTAAACACCAAGCTTACCTTCGGAACCCGCGCACTTTAAAGGTATCTAAGAAGCATGCCACCAAAAGGTTAAATTACATTTCACGCTTTATCAATGAATACGTTACGATTCAAAACCAAACGGAAAATGGGCCTGCTGCGGCTAGAGCGTATTGTAACTGTACAATTTATGCGTGCGACCGCGGCTTTGTTTGATGACTTGGCTCCAGATATATCCACCACTTGGCTGCCGGCCCGACGTCTTCTTATCTTCTCCACCCTCCTCCCCCCCCCCCCCCCTCTGATGCCAGGACAGCTGCGGCCCGAGTCCCACCAACGAAACCGATGCTGAAAACTCTGCCGGAAAATCTACTATCAGTGCGTGGTCCCAGGTTTCAGGTCATTCTAATATGCAAATAATATGCGTGAGCAGTTAAACATCTGACAAACTTCGTTCCGCGGGGAAACTGACAATGCATTCATAAAATACTTTAAGTGGCACATCGTGAGATGCTTTAAATGAAGCAAAACCACCGTACTGGTTAATTGGATACATAGGCAGCCAGTTGCTTACCAAAGCCGCTCGCTTCTTGGCTCGGACCCCAATTTGGCTCTGAAAGTTATGCAGCCCACAAGTCGGCCGGCGCACCACCGACCCAGTTCTAGAGACGCTGCTTCGGTGGCCCACTTAGCACGCCACAGACCTGTCACAGCGAGCGCGTTTCCCCGCCGGCCAGCCGCGCCACCCACCATTCATCGGTGAACGTGTTGTTGCGTCCGCCGGCCGGCACCTTCTCCAGCTCCTCGTCGAACTGGAAGTTGAGCTCCTCGCGGTCGTCGATGGCCGGCGCCGGCGACTCGTTGTGGCCACCGGGGCGGGGGCCGCGGCTCGCGCGACCGACGCCGCACCTGTGGCGCGCCGCCACCGGGGAGCGTCAGCCGCGAGCCGTGGCGCGTCATGGCTCATCACAGCACCGCCGCCCACACCACCAGCGGCGACCGAGCCATCACACCACAGCACCACCGCCCACACCACCAGCAGCGACCGAGCCATCACAGCACGGCACCGCCGCCCACACCACCAGCAGCGACCGAGCCATCACACCACAACACTGCCGCCCACACCACCAGCAGCGACCGAGCCATCACAGCACGGCACCGCCGCCCCACACCACCAGCAGCGACCGAGCCATCACATCACAGCACTGCCGCCCACACCATCAGCAGCGGCCGAGCCATCACAGCACGGCACCGCCGCCCACACCACCAGCAGCGACCGAGCCATCACACCACAGCACTGCCGCCCACACCATCAGCAGCGGCCGAGCCATCACAGCACGGCACCGCCGCCCGCACCACCAGCAGCGACCCAGCCATCACAGCACGGCACCGCCGCCCGCACCACCAGCAGCGACCCAGCCATCACAGCACGGCACCGCCGCCCACACCACCAGCAGCGACCCAGCCATCATACAACGCCCCCAAAGCGGTTGCTTCACAGTCCCGCACGCACCGTCTGATACAACCACACATGGCGCGCTGGCTGGAACAAGCCGCCACGCCAGACGCGCGTGCTGTCAGCAGTTCGGCCTTAGCCGCTAAAACAACGGACAATGCTGCTCCCGATGCGTACATTGGCGCCCAGCCACACGACTGGCTGGCGCCGTCAGCGAGCCGCTGACCTGAGCCGGCCGTGGCGCGCCAGGTCCGCCTGCTCCGCCTCACCTGGCGCCACTCGGACTCGGGGGCGCTGGACGACAGCGGCGGCGAGTCGAGCAGGGAGAGGTACGAGCTGCGCCCGGGTACGCCGACGGCGCCCTCTGTCGGCGCGAGCGGCGGCGCGTCAGGGCAAAGCACCGCGTCCGGCTGCACACGCGGGGCGCGGTGGAAGAGAGGGGGGAGGGGAGGAGAGGGGAGGGGAGGGGAGGGGAGGGGAGGGGAGGGGAGGGAGGGGAGGGAGGGCAGGGGGGGGAGGGGAGGGGAGGGCAGGTGCAGCGGCACGCACAACACACGCAAAACATTTTTAACTCCCTGCAGAAACTTTCATACAACACCAATGCAGTAGCTGCGTTGTCGGCACCAAACACATCGACCTACATGATTGAACCAACAATGAACATCGCAGCAGTACAACCGTGATGATCTCACAGATATCCTGGCCATCACCACGGGGGGGGGGGGGAGTCTCCCAGAGCGCACACACGCCATCGTGTACCCGCTATGTGTAGACAGTTGAGCTTACGGCCGCCGCCGACACGACAGGGCGGCGACAGCATGAGTCGGCACAAACCGCCCACTGCCGCCGCCGGCTGCCGGCCACCCCGCAGTGTGGCTATGATGGGACCATGGTCGATTCGTGCGCCGCCCGAACCCGCTCGTAATCGAGGGCACCAAACGCCCCCCGTCGCCATCGACCCGGCCCTGAGCCCCACCTCCCTAACCCTGCCCGTGGGCCTGCTAGCGGCCACCTGACCGGCACCTCACCGCTTCATCAGTACACCATTCACAGTCGGATAGGCATGGTCCGTAAGGCGATGCAGCCGCGGACCTTCCCAACCTCGGAACGCACCTGTCTGCGAGCCAGCGTCGGCTTCCGCGCCGTCGGCGTCGGCGTCGGCCGGGCCGCTGGTCTGCTGCAGAAAGTGCGGCACGAACTCGGGTACGTCCGGGTTGAGTTCGCCGCCCTGGTGGCCGGCCGCTGCCGCCGCCGTCGGCACCGGCGCGTTCGCCGCCAGACGCCACTTGCGCGGCTCCTCTTTGGCGCGGATCTGCCGGGCACATCGGTCCGCCATGTGCAACGTAAAAAAGCTGCGCTGCTAGCGCCGTGCATGATTCTGAACTGGTTGAACTAATCCCTCTCACTTCTTACCGGATTGGTTTGACCGCGCTCCGAAACACACGTAACGTCAGAGCTGCAGGTATGGTAGCCACGTCCCGTTGGCAGAGCGCAGGACACCAGGACACCCGAACAACGTGTGGCAGACATGGAGTTTCACGTGCACGTAAACGCGCCTATGCCAGTGGCCAGTGCGGGCCAATCAGCTGCGGACTGGGAGAGAATCACACTGGCACGGGGCAACCGTGTCATGACGCTACATATCACATCAAGAGCCTTCAGGAAAACCGTCTGTTGCACTAGGATTGCCCTACTATCGCCTAGCCAGGTAACGGCTCTGACCTCCAATCCATCAATGAACAATTAATTTTCAAAGAGCGGAAAGTACAAAAACTCTGGCGTCATCTACCAGCCAACAAGGCCATTAGGAAGCCGAATCCCTAGCGTCAACAGCTTATGGGTGCTTCTGTTTATAACCGGCGTGGTGTTGTTGGACCATTTCTCATGACACCACGCCGATGGGGACACATCACGCGACCCGCACGCGGCAGACGCTGTAAGAGCTAGCCGTGAAACGGGCGCCGTAAAGCGAGAGAAAAAAATAAAGCCCAGCTGTTTCAACGCCAGGTTCACAAAACGAATAAAAGACATCACCTGTCGGCGACGCCTGAGCCATCTCCAGGCCGTCATAACTCAGCTGGTGAGGGCGTGGGGGGGGGGGGGGGGATCGCCGAGTCGGCCCAGGGCACTCACCTTGACACCGTCGGCAATCTCGACCACATCCGAGTCCTCCACGGACTGGATGACCAGCTTGATGTCGCGCGTCAGAGCCTCCACCCGGTGGAACGAAGCGATCAGCGACACGGGCAGGTAGCCTTCGTTGTCCATCTTGCGGCGCAGGAAAAAGTCCTTCTGCAGATTCTCCTCGCTGAAGTAGTACTCACTGGACGCGGAGGTGCGGGCGCGTTAGACGCGAGCCACGCGGCTAGGACGCCGTGCAACATGGCCCGAACACGACGACAAATGCGCGGGCTTTCCCGGGTTTGGAAACGAACCATTTGCACCAGAACTTCCCTCTCGTTCGTCACCATAACGTGCGACGTTTTTGGAAAAGCCCGATCCGTTTGACGCCACGACCAGCCGAGGGCAACAGACACGCGGCTGCCGCCGGGGTGTGCAGGCGAGATCACCCCAAAACGTACATCTGTTTCTTGATGGCCTCACGCAGCGCCACCTCGCTCAGCTGCAGGTAGGGCGACGGGTACACGAAGCTGTGGTACATGTCGACAAAGGCGGGATCCGACCGCATGTACTCGGGCACCTGTGGACGGCGCCGGCCGCGTCACATGTGCTCATGGCTCGGCCCCCATCGCAGCCGTCCTGGCAGCTGTTGTTGTTGTTGGGACCTGACGCCGCCTCCAACTTCTGACACTACATGGCATCGCCTGATTCTCACCCCGGCAGGAAGGGCGGTCACCGCGGGAATCGAACCTCATGCCTCTGGTTTCCCTGACGCGGAGCCAAACGACTGACTACCCCACACCTCTCCCTCCCCGCCCCCCGACTGGAATTGCAAACACAGCCTTAAATAGCCAGGCCGTCAAACCTACCCACACACCAACACGCCAAGACCGTATGATGAGCAGCCACAACTGCTGTAACGGGTCCTCCGAGCTTCACACGGAAATCACGATTAAATATCAGGACAATACCGTCCATCAGCCACCATTCCCGTCCGAGCACGCGCGGCGGGCGCATCCTCGGCCCTAAAGCGCCCTACGAGCCCGTCCGTTCCTCTCACCTTGGCACCCAGGTCAGCGGCCATCTCCTCCAGCGGATCCTGGCCGGTCCACTCGTCGCCGGCCAGGCTGCCGGCGGTCGAGCCGCGCCCCCGGCCGCGGCCTCGCGCCCGGCCCCGGCCGCGACCCGCGCCCGCGCCGCTCCACACTCCGGCTGTCCTCGCGCCAGTTGGCGCTCTCGGCGGCGCCTGTCCACCGACGGCGGGCGGCGGTCAGCCAGGGCGCGCCTCGCGGGACGCCACGCGCCACACTGCCGCCGGCTGCCGGCGGTCGCACGCACCGCGCCGCACGGCCCCGCAGCACAGGCCGCAGCAGGGACCCCAGCGCTGGCGGCGGCGGCGGCGGCGGGCCGCGCCAATCGTGGCCACGTCAGCCACACAGGCCGAGTACGCACGGCAAAGGTCAGTCCGAGACGCGACGGCCCGACAGGTGGCCGCAGCGTGGGCGGCGCCGGCCGCTCCCACTCGTACCAGCCCTGCTAACTGACGGCTGCAGCCACCGGCACAGAACCGGTGTCGCGGCTTCGACACGCACCACGACCAGCAGCACGCTCTACAGACTGACTAAAAGCGTGGTGACCAGGGGACACGTTTAGCACCTTAAATGTGGTGCGGAAAGGGTGACAACCCGCATTGAGACCAACCAATCACGGCGCATGGCCGCCGTGACGTCACTGAGCATTTGGTAGGCACCAGTGCATATGGGCGGTGTAACTTCACCAAGCTGTCACTGCCATCAGCCGCATTTAAAATCGACGATTGGCAGTGTCAATACGTCGATACAGATCTAAAGCAGTGAGAGAAGCGCATGCAACAATTGAAGGCCTCAATCAATTACAATGGGCCGGCAGTTTGTTATTTTTAGCACCATCTCCTTGTGCGTTGTTCGGCGATCCGCCGGCGGCCAAATCCTCAATAACGTCATGGTCACGGCGTGCTCGTTGTAGTCACATTGCCGCTGTCACATGCTTTTGACTAGAGCATGCTCGCTGGTCATGGCACGGCAGATGCGGCACAGGGGACATCGCCAGTCTCTGAGACCATCTCCGCTGCTGAGCCCCGTGCCGCCGAGACCTACTTCCAACAGGTGCGTGGGTGGGCCTGTGACCAGTGGACCTGGCACGCGGGACTGGCCCGACCAGCTCCGACTAGCGCCTAGTTTAGCGGACCAAACGGTCTGACGAAACAAATGGCGTCCGGAGGACGGACGTCAAAGCGGCGCTCTCGGCGCGACGGCGCCGCGGGCTGTCTGTGGCCGCCCGAGTGGGAGCGACCAGCTGGGTGGCCGCCGCCGCCGCCAGATAGCCGGCCCGGCGACAGCCCGCTCGCCGCCGGCCGCCACTCGCTCACCTGCCCGTCGAGGGTCCATGCGTGACCGGAAGCCGCCGCGCGGCGACCGGTCCGTCCGCTTGCCGCGGCCGCGGAACTCGATGTCCATCGGCTTCCATTTCTGCTTCGGAGCTGAAACGATCGACGCACGGTGATGCGACGCTTTGACGGGGGGGGTAACGACACAGCTCACCAGCGACGTCAGGCCAAGCGACGGAGGCCGCGGAGCGTTGCCACCTCGCCGTCACGTCACATTGGCACGACACAGTTCCCGACCAGCAGACCCACTTGGGGTCAGCGCGCCTC